TTCTGATTGAAACGCCAACCCTTGCACATAAATGAGGTCCCTCTGTGCGGGCAGATGGGGCAGGTGGAGGATGCTCCCCACCAGCCCAGCATCAGCCTCAGACCACATGGATCCAGCCCCTGCCACCGGCACCCATGAGGCCAAGCTGCACCAGGATGAGTGCATTGGTATTTCAATCTGACTCAGGAGCTTTACACTAGCTGAACACTTCATCTGTCTCACGAGAAACAAATCTCTGCTATAAACAGCAAATAATCTTTACTAGCGGCAATAAAGGTGGGCTGTGTACTCCACGTGTGCAAACTCCCCATCCACATCCCCATCTGCTGCTGACAGCCCTCATCTTCCTCTGGTTTTGAAGAGGGGGGCTGTCCTTTGTTAAGACCTCCAGCTCCTTAAATCTTTACTGCAAGAGGCTGTTATTTAAAAACAAAACAAAACAAAACAAAGCTCTTTTTTCCTCTTGGAAGTGAAATCAGCCTGGCTGACCAATTCACCACCTGTGCCAGTCCGGAAAGCGGTGGCACCCCTGAACAACAGCCTTCAGCCCCCCCGCCTCCCTGCGGAGACACTTGCTGTGTTTACTGCAAGGTCCAGGGCCAAAACTCAAGTGGGAGGAATTCAGGCGGAAATTCCCTCTTGTATCAGCGTGTTTCAGCTGAAATCCCATCCTATCAGCAGGCTGCTAGTGGGGGTACGGGGAGGGCGGTAGCAGTGAGGAACAGCAGAACATGGTCCCCTCCAGCCCTACCTGAGGGGCAGGAGATGCTCCTGCCCCTGCTGCCCACCACCCCCATGGGTGCAGCCCCGAACACACCTCTTGTCTCCAGGTTGAGCTTTGGCCCGCTTTGCTTCCTCCCTCATCTGCCCTTGGCGGTTATCTCAGACACATTTATTTATTAGTTGTAGTTTATTTTTCCTGCCAGGGCCAAGGTTTCCAGGCTAAGCCTAGGAGGGGATGGTCAGGTCCAGCCCTCGGTGAGGTTTTTGCTGGGGTTAAGGGAGTTCAAAGTCAACCGGGGAATGAAGTCAGTGATGACTGAAATTACCAAATTTGCATCTCATGATCTTCAAGGAAAGGAGGCAAGAAGATAAGTGGTAGGAAACCTCCTCTGACCAGCTGTGCTCAGGAGGTACTGTACGTTTTTGCAAGTGAAACTTCACTCAGACAGCTGTTTCCACCAGATTTCAGAGCATCCAAAGCCAAAAGGAAAATACCAAACCAAAATCGAGTTGTTCTGGCTTTGAGAGACCATGTAGAGCCTGGCTGCAAAGGGAGATGAGGATGGCAGGGAGAATGGCAAATGCCTCCACATTGGGCTGAAATACCCATTGTGGGTGTGAGGAACTTGCATGGGCATAAGAAAGGAGGAATGGGAAGCAGAGGGAGGCAAGAACTTGAGAGCATCTTCTCAGGGAGCAAGTATGTGGATGGTTTTTTGATACATCTTCCCTGAGTGCTTGGAAAATGTCGGTTGGCCCCTGTCTTTTCACCTCTCCAAGGAAGCTGTGCCAGGCTCTGAATCCTCATTAAAGGCTTTTTCTTTTTTTTTTTTTTTTCCTCTTTCCAGGCAACAGCAAAACTTTAAATCCTGCTGACAGTGGAGACCCCAGACTGTTAAATCCTCAGCAAGTTGGTAAACAAATACAGGAAGA